GAAACTTGAGACCATTGCTCCTTGTTCTGTCATCTGTCACCACTTAGAACAGTCCAGCTCCATTCGCTTTGGAACCACCCTTCAGGTAGTTGAAGGCTGCTTTAAATCCTCTCTGTCTTCTCTTCTCTAGACTAAATAAGCCAAGTTCCCTGAGCCTCTCTTGAGAAGTCATGAGCCCAAGCCCCCTAATAATTTTTATTGTCCTCTGCTGGACTGTCTCCAACTTGTACACATCCTTTCTGTAGTGGGGGGCCCAAAACTGGACACAGTATTTTAGATGTGGTCTCACCAGTACTGAATAGAGGGAAATGATCACTTCCCTCAATCTGCTGGCAACACTTCTACTAATGCAGACCAGTAGCCCAATGCTACAAGGGCACACTGTTGCCACAGATTCATCTTATTGTCCACTGTAACCCCCAGGTTCTGCAGAGCTGCTGCTTAGTCAGTCAGTCTGCAGCCTCTACCCCTGCATGGGATTCTTCTGTCTTAAGTGCATGACTTTGCATTTGTCCTTATTGAACCTTATGAGATTTCTTTTGCTCAAATTCTCCAATTTGTTGAGCTCTCTGTGAATCCTAGCTCTGCCGTCCAGTGTCTCCACTATTCCCCCCAGCTTGGTGTCATCTGCAGATTTGCTGAGGGTATACTCCATCCCATCTTCCAGGTCATAGATGAAGATATTGAACAAAACCGGCCCCAGAACAAACCCCTCAAGCACTCCACTTGATACCAGTTCCCAACTGTATATAAAGCCATTGAATACTGCCCTTCAAATCTGATGAACCAGCCAGTTTTCTATCTACCCTACAGTCCATTCATCCAGCCCATATGTCCTTTTCTTAGCTTGCTTGCGAGAATGGTTGTACAAGACGGTAACAAAAGCCTTGGTAAAGTCAAGGTATATCATGTCCGCTGCTCTCCCTGCATCTGCAGAGCCAGGCATCTTATCATACAAGGCAATCAGGCTGATCAGGCATGAATTGCCCTTGGTAAATCCATGCGGACTGTTCCTAATCATCTTCTTGCCCTCCAAGTGCTTAGAAATGGATTTCTCGATGACCTGCTCCATTTTTTTTTCCCCAGGGACTGAGGGGAAGCTGATTACTTTGTAGCTCCCTGGATTCTCTTTCTTCCTTTTTGTTTTCAAAATGGACACTATATTTGCCCTTTTCCAATAATCTGGAACCTCTCCTGATTGCCACAAGTTTTCAAAGGTATTGGTCAGTGGCGCTGCAGTTGCATGAGCCAACTCCATCTGTACCCTTGCATGCATCACGTCTGGCCCCATGGACTTGTACACATCCAGCCTTTCTAAATAGTACCTGACCTGTTCTTTTGCCACTGTTGGCTGCTCATCTCCTCCCCGAATTGTGCTGCCAGGTGCTGCAGTAGTCTGGGAGGTGACTTTGTCTGTGAAAAAAGTACTTCAGTTTTTTCTCATTATCTGTTACGAGGTTACCTCCCTCATTCAGTAAGAGACCCACACTTTCCCTGATCTTCTTGTTGCTGACATACTTGTAGAAACCTTTCTTGTTACCCTTCACATCCCTTGCTAGCTACAACTCAAATTGCACTTTAGGCTTCCTGATTTCATCTCTGCATGCCTGAAGTATGATTTTACACGCCTCCTGAGTTTTGTCCAAGTTTCCACATCTTGTAAGCTTCCTTTTTGTGTGTTAGCTCACTGAAGAGTTCCCTGCTAAGCCCAGGCTGGTCTTCTGCCATATTTGCTAGTCTTCCTGTGCGTTGGAATGGTTTGTTCCTGTGCTCTCGGTAAGATGTCTTTTAAAATACAGTCAGCTCTCCTGGACTCCTTTCCCTCTCAGTCTTGCCTCCCAGGAGTTCCTGCCCATCATTTCCCTAAGTGAGTTCATGCCAGTTTTTCTGAAGTCCAGGGTCCTTACTTTGCTGCTTGCCTTCCTTTCTTTCCTCAGAATCCTGAACTAAGTCATCTCATAGTCGCTACTGCCTAAGTTGCCATCTGCTAGTACATTCCCCAACAATTCTTCCCTCTTTGCGAGTATCAGGTCAAGAAGAGCACGGCCCCTAGTTGGCTGCTCCAACACTTACACCTGGAAGTTGTCCTCACCACTCTCCAAAACTTCCTGAACCACCTGCACACTGCTGTATTACCCTCCCAACAGATGTCAGGGTGATTGAAGTCCCCCATGAGAACCAGCACCTGTTATCAGGAAACTTCTGTTAGCTGTTTGAAGAAAGTCTCATCCACCTCCACCTCCTGGTCTGGTGATCTGTAGCACACACCCACTACAATATCACCCTTGTTGCTTCTCCTTCTAACTCTAACCCCAAGACTTTCAACAGGCCTATCTCCAGTTTCATACTAGAGCTCTGAGCAATCATACAGCTCTTTTACATAAAGTGCAACTCCTTTTCTCTGCTGCCTGTCCTTCCTGAACAGCTTATCCCATCCATGACAGTTCTCTAGTCATGCGAGTTATCCCATGTCTCTGTTATTACACTCACTTTATAGTTCTGTGACTGTGCAGGGACTTCCAGTTCTTCTTGCATGTTTCCCAGGCTCTGTGCATTCATGTACAGACACTTGAGGTAACTGTCCAATTGCCCTATTTTCTCAGGAAGAATGAGAAGGCTTCCCCAGTTGCCACCTCTTGGGCTGACCAGTTTTCTTCTCCACTTTGATCAGGAGGTCAAATGAAACCAGAAGCAATCTACTTCAGAGTGCTTTGGAGTTCTTTCAGTTTCATCTGGGGTTTTTTATACAATATAGGCTGATTTCTAGTGCTGTAATGCTGTGCATCATCTGTTTGTTGTCTTTTTATTACACTTTGAAACTTCTTATAGTGCTTGTTCCTTACCTAAAGTGATATGTTATAGATGAAAAAGAGAGGAGAACCCGGAGACGCACCTCTCTGGGATCCCCACATCAAGTTAAAGGTGATTGAGAGACTATTCAGTAGGACTGGTTTAAAGAAGCAGAGGGAGGATGGGCCAGGACAGGGCAGTCACAGAAACCAAGGAGAAGGAAGTTTTGTGAAAATCATTTTGAGTGTTGAAGGCAGCTGACAGGTCAGAGGATGAGGATAAGGATGAAGTACTTGTTTTGGCTTTGGCTAAGACAGGGGCAGGCAAAATACAGCCCACAGGCTGAATGCAGCCTGCCAGGCCATTCTGTGCAGCCCATGGAGCACCTACAAAGTCTAGAAGATTAATATTTATCTGCTCCAGGTTCCCTGTCAAAGCTGACAGGAGCTTGGGATACTAGGATCCAGGGAAAGCTGGCAGGAGTCAGGAGAAAGGCGGGGCTGGGCTGGCCTGTTTCCCCCACCCCCACCTGGAAGTCTCTACCTGCTGGAGCTCTCCCTGCACATGGCTTCTCCAGCACCACGTGGCCCCAGCTGCATCACTGGACCCCTGGGAGCAGGGGCACACTGGTACCATGGAGTCAGGAGAGATAGGAGGGGTTGTGTGTGTGTATCCGTACCATGAGGGAGGGGGAGACAGAGACAGAGAGCAATGAGGGAAGGACGGGGAGAGAAAGAAGAGAGAGAGATTGTGTGAGTGTGTGTGTGTGTGTGCGCGCGCGGTGAGCAAAGCACTGTGTGTGTGCGTGTGGTGAGCAAAGCACAGTGTGTGTGTGTGCGCGTGTGTGTAGTGAGCAAAGCACAGTGTGTGTGTGTGTGCACGCGTGCGTGTAGTGAGCAAAGTGCACTCTCTGTGTGTGTGTGTAGTGAGCAAAGCGCACAGCATGTGTGTAATGACCACACCCACATCCCACACACTTATCCAGCCCCACAACCACCCCCCACAGCCCCCCACAAACCTTATACCCATCTCCTCATGCCCTCCACAGTATGCATGGTGACCAGGGGGCGGGGCACCTGTCAAGGGCTGGGGCTACCCATGCGGTGCTTGACAGCTTACCAAAACTCCATAAGCATCCCTCCATCCAAAATAATTGCCCACCCCTGGGCTAAGAACATCAGAGACTTTTTCAAGAGTTATTTCAGTGGTGTTTAAAAGGTAGAAGCTGGATTGAAGATCTTCCAAGATGGAATTGGAAGAAAGAAATTCCAGCGAGAAGTCAAGATAGGAAAAGGCAAGCATTTGAGAAGTAGTCAAAGATGGTGAAAATACAGTTGAGATATTGCAATGGGGATTTAGCAGGCTATATAGCTAATTATTTTGTTAGGAAGATGGCAGAATTTAAAGAAAAGTAAATGCATAGGGCAAATCAGCCTAGTCACAGTATTTCTGCTAGAGGTACTCCACAACACAAGAGCAAGAGTTCAGGAAGCAATGGCTAGGAATGAGCCAAGGATGGGAATTGGCAGGGTTAACTTGTCATAGGAAAAGAGACAAAATAATCGTAGGTGGAAGAGAGTAAAGCATGGAGAATCAATGACCACATTGATGGAAGAAAGAGGGAACAGAGGAGAAAGTAAACCTCTGGTCAATTGGAAGTCTTGGATAGGCCAAGTGACTGAGTGAAGGGGACATAGATGAGTGATGCTGAAACAGCCCAGGTGGAAAAGAATAACTCAGAATTAGATCTAAGAGTGTAGTGCCTTGTAAAGATCAAGTAAAGTAAACAACCCCTTAGTTGAATGGCATTTTTTTTCAAACATGGGTAGAGTAATTGTGTTTATAAACCAAATGTCATGTTGTATAGAGCCCTAAAGACCTGAGCCTTTCAGAACTGCACTCTAAAGAGAGCCATTAAAATACTGGGATTTTAGCACTATGTTAATTACTTAATATTTGTTATCTTCAAGCATAATATATTATTATGTTTTTAATTATGACAGTTACGCGATTAGGATAGAATATCATTGTAAATAACTACCTTGATATCTTTGTATAGGCAAAAAAAACTAGACTAGCACCTTCCTTCTTAATGTGTTTGAGTTTTTCTTGCTTGATGTCCAATTCAGTTTTAAAATGCAGTAATTCCATAACTAGCTTGAAGCTAGCTGTATTCATCACACTTCTAATTGCTTATATTTGCTATGCAGAAATTTCAAGACATTGAAGAGGCGCATCTCCTTCACATGAAAGAGATTATAGAATCATTGTCAAACACTATGAAAGAAATTCACTTACAAATAGGGCAGGTGAGTTTATTTTATATTGATCGTCGTATTAATCCAACTATGAACTATAATTTATATTTAAGTTATCAGAAGTAATGTTGTTTACTGCCTTTGCAGCAATGGCATGGTCTGGTCTGTGATACTAACATGAAATGATCACAGTTAGTATTAAAAAAAAAAAGATGAGCCCAAAAAAAATATATAACAATTCACATTTTGTTAATAAAAGCTAGGAAAGTCAAATGCATAGTTGTCACAACTACTATAATATATCATTCTTTTGCCTTTATATAATCTACAGCAATAAAGTTTTACAAACATGAATGCCATAAAATGGAAGAACTACTTAGCTTAGGGACTTTGAATTTTCTGTCTTTTCAGCATATAAAATCTCAGTTGTAATGTTGTATTGATGTGTTTTGCAAATGATTGTGGCTTTATTGACTGATTACACATTAAACCTATGGGATTGAATTCAAGAGTAATGAGTGGCATTGGGAAGCTCTATATACCAGCAAACAAGTGTAAAATTAGCTTTTTTGTGGGGTGATGCAAGAGGTAAGAAAGACAAACAGGAAGAAAAGTGGGAAGAAAAACAAATAGTACTATAATAAGGTATATGTGTGGCTGATAAATCCTTTTCTGTCATTATATAACCTTCTGTGCATTTTCTCTACTGTAGCCTCGTGGGCTAGAATGTAGTTTATACCAATATTTAGATCTCTCCTAGCTTTGTGCCACTATTTTCACATATTTATTATTACATGTATTATATATACTTTGAATTAGACTCCTTATATACTTACATTTAAATGTGAATACTAAAGTAAGTATACATATGATGAGTAGCTACACTCTTGTACTGGAAACTCTAATGAAAGGAATGGATTGATCAGGAAAATTCAGGAGTAGATGTACATGAGTTGAGATTGCTCAGCACATGCTGCTTCTGGCAGCAGTTTAATGATAGACATTGTAGTTAGTAAGATTTCCTTCTATGCGATTATAAGACAAATGGCTTTTTTTCCCCAGACCGGTTGGGGGAAAAACCTCATTTTGTATTTGAATAAATACAGTATTGCGGCTCTCAATATTTTTCACTTTATCCCTATAATTATTGATATCCAAGATGTAGTGTTTGCAGTCATTTGTATTTTTTCATTTGTTGTATGCTCTGCTCACTATTATAATCCCAAACATCTTTACAATTGATGAGAGTTAAGGTTTCCTCATCTGTGATTAGAATACTGTCAGCCATTCACAAAGAAACTGATCTTTTTGTATTCAGTGTGGCATTTATTTGTGATGCTGTAACCCACATTTTGAAAGTGGAGGATATCAAGAAATACTGCAAAAGTGTTCTCTCAGTGAACATCATCTGTCTTGCATACTAACAGGGACAGGAGTTTTGTGGAGAAAAAATAATATGTGATTATGTAATTAAATGCTGTATTATAATGTCTAAATGAGCCAAATTTCAGGGTTGCATAGGGAAATTCATTCTTATCTTTGCTAATTAGAGTGCTTGACTTCGCAATCTTAATGTTCCTGTATTGGTTTTTGTTGTTGTTATTATTGTGAAACTTCTGGTACTCTCTCCCCTTTAGTACTTTGCAGGCCACCATTTTAAGCTAGAGGGGTAGTGGTAAGGTAAAAATAGAACAAAACGGTCCATAGGCCTTGCAGTAGAGAATGTTTCTGTAGGATGTGTGTGAAGCCCCATTGAATTACATTCAATATAGGGCATTTGGAAATTACCACAAATCAAATAATAATAAAATATTTTGTCTGATGTTTAAATAGAATTCAGGCCATTAAAAAAAGCCAGAAAAGCATTATCCATAGATGTTGATACATCTGACATGCGTAACATTCGTGTCTGGAATTTATATGCCAGCCCTCTCTGGAAAAGCTTACAAATACTAACCCCAGTGGTGGGTCATATTTCTTAGGGCAGAGACAGCCAAAGTACCAGCCAAAATTCTGGTGGTGCCCATCTGCATCCTCTGTTGCTATATTGCCCTGTAAATAAGGAAGTAAGATTTGATGAGAATATTGAGAGAGATGTCGGATCTGGTGTGGAGCTAGTAGCCATCTTTGAAAAACACTTTATCTCGTTTGAGTGGGTGTGGTCCAGTGTAATCTGGGACAAATGGGCGATGGATTCCTATGCATCCAACCATTATCCTGTTCATTTCAGACACTTGCTCCATTCCTCTTCACGAGCCTTAAATCTTATTATTAAAAAGAGTCACTACAACATCAAGGGTCCTCAGAAAATGCTTAGTGGTGGTGCATACGATAAGGCAGAACATTCCTATCTATTCCAGTTTGTCCAGTTGAATAAGTGAGAGAAAGCACAGATCCTAGAAAATGTTCTATCCCCTATTCATCCAGCTGGGCCTCTTAGCGAACTACAAAAAAGTATCACTAACAAAGACTCGGACAGAAATACTGTTCTTAGAATATCCTGGTGCCTCCAAAATTTGCAGTGCAAATCTTAGTCAATACAGTGGCCATATACAATATTAACGAGAGATTGTCCGTTCATCAGTTCACTGTCTGGAATCCATCAAATCCTGGATGCAATACCATAAGAATGAGATGACACTCATGGCTTTTCACTTCTTGCAGGTCAGAAACAGTCTAGATTTCCAGGCAGGCAAGCAGTGATCAGTAGCAAATTATCCTTTCACAGATCTGCCAAAGGACCATCTGTAACTGGCTGCCTGTTTTCAGAGGCTGTAGCCAGCTGCAGCTGGTAAGAGACTGTTTGCAGGCTAGCTACAAGGACTAGGCTAGCTGCAGGGAGCTGGCAGCTAAAAGGGCTCCCTGGGGAACAGACCCAGGATCAGTCAGGAAGACGGCTGCAGGCTGGAAGTTAGATAGCTACAAGTGAGAGTGGAGTGGGAGAGAGACAGTGGATCAGCTCACGGAAGAGCCTGGGGACCACGTTAAGAGTGTCTCTCTCCCACAAGTGCAGCAGAAGGACTGTAAGTGAGCCCTTCCTCTGGCTGAAGGAACCAAACGGATAAGGGAGAGAGCGGGCAAGTGGCAGTAGAGCCACATCTGAGGACTCTTTGGATCTGGGACAAAACCTTGTATAACGTAAGCCAAGGGTTTTCAACCTTTTTTAATAAGCATACCTCCGACGGCTGGACACAGAGCACAGGGTGGGGGTGGTGTGTGGACAGACGTGGAGCGGCAGCAGAGCCCGGTGGTGGTGGTGAAGGCAAAGTCCATCTTTGCTAAGAAGAGGGAACCTGCTAGGACACCTCTTGGAGGAAGTGTGGGTTTGAGGGATGAGGAATAAACCTCAAGAGGCCTAGCAAAGGTATAAGGCCCCTACCCAAGCACAGAGAGAGTCTATGCCTGTGTCTACTAGCAAGGACTTGGAATGAAAGAAAACGGGGACCTACCAGAAAGTGGACAATCCAACTCCAGTAGGGCAGAGGTGTGGACAGAGGCGGCCCTGGCTGCAGTTGAGAGGGAGGTGAGCTCTGGGAATGACCCACCTCAGAGGTTCCCCAGAGAGGAGCTGCAGCCAGAAAGGAAAATGGCAACAGCACCAGTAACAGGCATGAATAGGATTCTGAAGATCCAACCCCAGGATAAGCCAAACCAGAGGGTGAATAGTGATGGGTTATTTGTAAATAACCTTTGTTTCAGTGTAAGATGTAAAAGACTGAAACAAGTGTTCCAGCAGGCAGGAACTGTGAGAGATGCCAAGGTGTGGAGAAACAATAAGGGGTCAGCCGAGGCATGGGGACTGTGAGGTCGGAACACTCCCGGGAAGCCTTTCAGGTGGTAGCCCTATTAAATGGACATTTGCTATGTGGCTGTCCCATGAGGGTAAGAACGGGTAAAGAAACAGTCCCCTGTAGCGGCTGATGAGTGGAGACTTGTGTGGATATAGTCACCCTGGAACTTGGGGAACTTTGAAGTGAAATACGGACCCGGTAGAGGATTGGCCCTAATCCTCCCTGGAAGGAGTGACCCAAGATTGTGGGTAATCTGATGGGGAGACTGAAAAGACTGTGTTTTGGTGTAATGGGCATGGGTGAGAGGCTCTCCCAGAAATAAGTAGAAGGGAGGAGATCCTCAGGTGGTAGAAACACTGCCCATCATGGGCTGGCTACATGGAGTAGGCAGCCAGGGATCAGAAGTGTTGAGTGAATATTGGAAACCCTGATGGGTGGGTTGGGAGGAGCCGCTCGACTGGAAGGGGAGTTGCTGGCAAAACATGTGAACTGAGGCCTGATCCAGAGCAGGCAGTCTAGACCTGCAGGGAGCAGGAAGAGGAGCTCTGCCCAGGGGCCTGCAGAGAGTGACTGTCAGAGGTCTGAGTGGTTCTGGGTCAGACGGGAGTACGCGGTACTCTGGGCTTACATTCTGGTTATGGGATATTAAGCTAGCCAGTGGGCTTATGTTTTGTTGATGTCTGATAAGGTAGATATTATATGAGGATGTAAACTCTACAACAGTTGGTGGTTTGAACAGAACTCTAGGGGTGATGGAGGATGCATAGCGCCTTGGGGGGCATGTTGAGAGAGGGCCTGGGAGGGGCAATTCCATAGCACCCAGTGGGGTGATCTGATGGTGCCTCAGGGGTCACATCAAGAGAAGGCCCCATACTTGGGGGGGAACCAGGAGGATCTGGTGCCCAGGAGGCAATAGGATGCATCACGAGAAGATCTGGTGCTGGTGGGAGGAAGGGGCAGGAGGGTCCAGTGCATAAGAGGTACTAAGGCAAATCAAGAAGGTTGTTCAGTGCCCACAGGGACCTGGAGGGTCTAGGACAGAATTGGAGGTTGAGGAAAAACAGCTTTGCCCTGGATAAGAAAACACAGGGGAGCTGTGGCCCAGTAGCCGTTGAAGCTCAGGCCAAAGCCAGGAATGCCAAAAGGGAGAAATCGGGCCCAGGGGACTGAAATCCAGAGTGAGATTCAGAGAGAGCACCACTTCAGCCCAGTCATGGATATGCCAGGGGAGCTGTGGCCCAGTAGCCTTTGAAGCTTGGGCCAAAGCCCAGAAGAGGCAAAATCAGGGCCAGGGGCCCCAGACCCAGAATAATATTTGGAGATAGGACAGCTTTGCCCTGGGCAAGGGAGCACAAGGGAGCCGTGTCCCTGTAGTTCCCTAAGTTTGTGCCTAACCAAAGAGAGAGAGAAAGATCAGGAGAAAACATTTAGGAGTATGATCGGTGAGGTATGGGTGTGGGTACAGAGGCAGTTGGAACCCATGGAATAAGTCCTTAAGGTGACTTGGGTGTGGATGGAACAGGAGGGTCCTACCTAGTGCCTGAGTGGGGGTAGAGACTTAGAAGAGGGATCCCTTCTTGTGATGGAGGATATGTAACAGGCTGTGTGTTTTCAGGGTGCTGGTAATGGCCTGTATGCTTTCAGGGGCTGCAGCTGGTAAGAGACTGATTGCAGGCTAGCTAGGAGGACTAGGCCAGCTGCAGGGGGTAATTAGCTGACAGCCAGGCAGGTAAAAGGGCTCCCAGGAAACAGAGCCAGGGTCAGTCAGGGAGACGGATAGAGCTGCCGGCTGGAAGTTCAAGAGCTGCAAGTGAGAGTGGTATGTCAGGTGGGAGACAGATGACAGGTCAATTCATAGAGGAGCCCGTGGACCATGCCAGGAGGGACTGTGTCTGAGTACCATGAATGCAGCAGAGAAGACTGTAAGTGAACCCTTCCCATGACTGAAGGGACCAGAGGGATAAGGAAGAGTGCTGGTAAGTGGCGGCAGAACCATGCCTGAGGACTCTCTTCGGGTCTGGGACAAGACCCTGTCTAATGTAAGCATTTGGTTTACAGACCGAGTTGTTTATATGGATTCCTGCCAGGAGGGAGTTTGTCCTGGGAGAGTAAAGATACTGGGCAACATGGTGAATGAACCCAAAAGACTGTGCGAGTGAGCAAATTCCCAAACCTGCTACACCAGGGGCAGGCAAAATATAGCCCGTGGGCTGCATCTGGCCCACCAGGCCATTCTGTCTGGCCCACAGGGTCCCTAAACATTTAGAAAATTAATATTTATCTGTTCCTGGCAGCCTGTCAAAGATGACAGGAGCCAGGGGCAGTAGGACCCAGGGGAAGCCTTGAGCAGGATCAAGGCTGCAGAAGCAAGTCTGGCCCGATTTTATTCATTTATTTTCCCCCCCACACCCTTCCAGTCCCCCCTGCCCCAAGCCCCAGCCAGACGCCTCTGCAGAGGCTTCTGGCTTGGGACTGTTTGTGCCTCCCTGCACCAAGGGAAATACAGATAAGGAGAAGTGGAGGAGGATCAGGGACAATCACCCCAGTCCTTCCGGCTGGCAGGGCCAGATCCCGCGTTCCCAGCACTGGAGCTGGAACCCATCTGGTGCTGACAGGCAAGCAGGGGGGAGTGGGGGAATGGCTGTGGCTGGCAGGGGGAAGGGGTAGCGAGCAGGCGTGTGGAGTGCAGCAACAGCCGGGTGGGAATGCAGGGCCCAAGCTGGTGCACTAGGGCCAGCACCAGCAGGGCCCAGAGTGGGGTGGCAGGAGCGCGGGGCCAGGCTCCAAGGGGTCTGTGGAGCTGGCCTGCACTGCACCAGGGGGAGCTGGGCTTGGGTCAAGGTGGGAGGGTTTGCCTACAGCCTCCCCCCTCTGCACAAGACAGAGGCCCTGCTAGTGCTCCTCCAGGCCTGGGCGCTGCGCTTCTGCTACTCCTGGCCCCAAGGCACCAGTGCAGCCCCATGCTCCTGTTCGCTGCCACTTCTCTGCATCTGCCGCTGCTGCCCTGTCTCGTCCCTGTTCCTCTGCTCGCCACTCCAGCACCATGTCCCAGCTGCTCCTGCCATCCCTAGCACTGGAGCTGGAACCCACTGGTGCCACAAGAGTAAGATTTCATTTTAAGCTATGATACTATTACCTCCTATGTGCACTGCACATGCGCATGTAAATCAGGACCGAAATATTTTTTTTAATGAAATTAATTAATGTTGTAGTACACGTTTGATTTTTAGAATATAATTTGTTGTTTTTCTGGTTCCGAGATGGCAAAATCCCTTGCTGAAAGGAGTACTTCCGGGGGGGCAACAGGAGGGACTTCTAGTAGCAAAGGTCAGGGGTTAGGGGCAGAACTTCTGGTCCCAAGATGGTGACCAGGGGGACGGGGCATCTATCAAGGGGTGGGGCTACCCATGTCGCCCTCGATGGCTTGCCAAAACTGTGTAGGCAGCCCTCTGCCTGAAATAATTGCCCGCCCCTGTGCTACACCATTATTCTGTTATTTCGTCTTGCTTATAATAGGCTGTAACCAGAGATTGTGCTAGGTGTCAGAACTACTGTACCAATGGAAGCTTGGGCCCAAAATGTTACTAGTAGAGGCACACCAATACATCGGTCCATATTGTATCAGCACCAATAAAAGAAAAATTGACATTACCAGCAATCAGCCTTTTTTCGCTGATGTAGCCAATAATGTCACTGATAAATGCCACATGCATGCGCAGCTGTAGTGCAGCATGCAGGTAGCCAGAAGCGCAGCCTGACTGCGTGGAGAGTTGTGTCCAGCTGGTAAGTCTGTTGTGAGGGAATGGGGGAGGAAAGGGGTGTGGGGGTGGGGCAGGCACTGCCCAACCGAGGCATGGTGCAGGACAGAGCCATGGTTTGTCTGTGGGGCATGGGGAGAGAGCTGTTCCCACTGCTGCATGCACCCCAGGGGAGCCATGGGGGGGTATACGTGCACCCCCCCAGATCTATGCATGCGGCGAAAGCGGGCTGGGGCCAGGGGCAGCACTGGGCTCTTCCCAGCAGGGGGCTAGACCAAATTGCACTTGGGGTGAGCGGTGGTGGGTCTGCAATGGGGGCTATGGGGAATTTTGGGGTGGCTGCAGCCCACCCTATAGTCCCCATCCCTACACCGCCACTGCCTGCCCCAAGTGCAGCCGGGCCCAGCCCCCCTGCCAGGAAGAGCCTGGCCCCAGCCAGCAGCAGCAGCCTGCCCTCACCATGTGCACAGATATGGGAGCATATAACTTATAAATGCATCAATGTTTACTGTCTTTTTTTGTACAGCAGTATGTGAATATCTATCTAAAACACGAGTTACTGTTCACTCAAAAATATTATGAGCAATTTATGTTTCCTTGTTGACTTTTTGAGGTATTATGACAGTACTGCTTTGAGCCAAATAGAGTTGTTATGGTACAAGATTATGTATTCATACTTATTATTTTGCTGGATATGTCTTGTCATCTCACTTTTTGAATAAGACCTGCTGTCATGCTGCTGGGTAAGAGATTAAACACAACAATAGCTAGAAAGAAGAAAAGGCAAAGATTCCTAAATCCACTATCACTAATACTCACTTTATGCATACTGTGTCTCCCTTTGCATCCTGCTTAGTGCATACACTTGCATATTGTTAAAGAAATAGAGAAATTTCCTTGATAAGCTATCTGGCAGTGCCTTCAACTTTTCAGTAATGTATACTGGAAGACGGCCTTTAAATGTTAGCTTAAATTGTTTGGTTAATTAGATTCTTTTCAGGTGTTGTTTATTACCTTTACTTTAATTTGTTTTCTTACAGGTTCATGAAGAATTTATTAATAACATGGCAAATATTACAGTTGAGAGCTTGATACAAAAATTTGCTGAGTTAAAAGGCACTGGCAAAGAGAGACCTGGTAAGAGATTAAAAATGCAAGAAGAATTGAAAATTTCAGAATGTTTGCTAAGCTTGCATTTCTAGTATAGATAATTTGTATAGTGTACAGCATTGTGTGTTTCTTTCCCTGCAGTGACTTTCTAGAAATATGGCAACTTACTTCAGTACATGTATT